AAACCACTGAATTTTAAATACCAATCTTCCCAAGTTGTTCTAACATATTTCTATTCATTGAGCAAAAATTTCTCTGTAAATAAATGCCATGTCTATAACAAATGTTGACCTAATTAAACACTACTATTTCTGATATCCGTGATCCTCAAAGAGAGATGATTTAGATTTGCTAAGTGTGTCTTTCTAAAAAAGGAGTTCTCTCTGTTTTAGCCTCTCAGCCATTGTCTTTTCAGACAAAAGCACTGGAAAACTACCTAACTAGCCTCTTGTCATACTGGTCTCTTTAACAGGAAGAGAGACCTGGTCCAAATCCTATCTAAGGCACAAGATCAAAATGCAGCCTCTAGAAGAGTGCTGAGGTGTTCACCACCTAGGTCAGGCAATTGCAGTGGGATCAGTGTCAAGACATAACTAAATGAGAAGGCAGGAAAGGAGAACGATGAGCATTAAGCCAAGAAACCTACAATGTACTTCTTACAAAGCGCTGTAAAATTCACATTTATTTTGTAAGTATGAGATAGATGGGTTATTTCTACATACAGAGGTGCCCAACTAAAATCAAGATAAGTGATATTAATGTCCTATGGTCAGTATTATTGAACCTCGAAAGCAATAAACTATGAGTCGATAAATATTACATTTGCAACATAGTTAACATTCTTCTACTGTCTCTGGCACTTATTACACATTGTAACCGCAAGTCTACAATACATTATTCATATTTGGGGTGTCACTGAGTGATGGATTGCTGTAAGAGAGGCTGTCCTTTAAATAAATCAACAAATAAAAATGCAAATGTTAACATTTTCAGCCACAACTTTTTCCATCTTGAATGGGGAATGAAAATTTCACATTATATCGACAGCCAGCAGAGAGAACAATTAACAACCTACACGGTGAATAAGAGAGATTAATTTGCCAATGTCTGGTTTTATCACTTGCATATGGAACTACATTGGACTTTTTGTGCTGCTGGCTTTCTCAGGGAGTAGGCAAAACTTGCGTCTCCTACCACGTTCATAAACTAACTCACCACCCCGCTCCAAACACACTTTTAATCTCTTTAAATGTTCCTAAGTTAAATCTGGAATTAAAGTTTCTTGCTCCCTTTGAATCTTGTATGGTGTCTGATCCTAAGGGGGAAAAATAATTCTATTTCTTTGTCAGTGCTTGCTTGGAGTCTACAGCAGAAGGAACCTCATAGATCGTCTTAAGTCGATATCCATATTTAAGCATCCAATATGCGCAGATCTGAAAAGCAACTACCATCTAAGTAAGGCAAAAGCTTAAATCTCTTCACTGTCATACTTCCTAACACTCAGGATAACAGATCTACTCTAGACTATTCCAGTGTGCATTATTAAGTATACAACACTGCACATTATATTTTACATCAGATATTAATTTGCTTAAAAGCCCCTGAATGCACATTCACCTGAGATGTGCTGGGCAACTGGGTAAATAGTTTTGTTTTTAAAATGTCCCTAAACACAAATTTACACAATACAATCTGTTTATAAAAACTCCAACAGGCCACTGTAGTCTAACAGATAATAATACAGCTCAAATATAGCATTTGTATTGCAAGAACATCTAAATCACTTATTTTAATGGCTAAAAGAAACTTCACTCAAAGACAATGCATTCAGCAAGCATTAAAGCTTTGATTTGAAACTGCAACAAGAAAACACATGCTTAATGCTGAAATCCCAGACTATCACTCAATCCCTTAATTTACCTAACTGTTCTTAAACTCACTTCTTTGATGTCCAAAGTGAAAAATGTTACAGGAGAATTATCTGTTTCCATGGTGAGCAGAACAACCTTTGCCTGTGTCTTTTTAAGTGCTTGATTATCCGCAGTATTATAGGACTTATTGTGCCAAACTCAACACTACAACAGTTTCTGCGTGGGGAGAGCCTGACAATTGCAACAGGGCTGTAATCAAATTAAATGGTCTTTCAGAATGTACAGTTTGTAATTTTCTTTTTTTTTTTTTTTTCAAAAATAGCTGAATACTTTAATTTAGAGCAGTTTCTCTTCTGTGTGCACCACAACACTTGTTTTGCTGAAATCAGTACCTGATTATGGCTAAGGTAAGATCTAGCTTATGTAAAAACTTCTTAATTAGTAAATGAAAGCATCAATATGCCACTGCTTCCCCTTTCCACTGTCCCTCCAGCTCAAAAGCAAAAATACAGACCCTTTCTTCTAGGCAAATGCCAGTTATGAGAAAGGTGCCCCTGATCACCAAAAAGGAAATGTTTAAGACAATCAGAATAATTATGCTTTAGGGGTAAGGAACAAACTTACTCTTCCAAATTTGCCCAGCCCTAACCTCGCCTGTGATTTTTTTGGTCTAGATAAATAAGCACATGGAGTAGAAAAGCTTTCCAGACCCGCTGTGAACATAATTCTAAGGGCTTCATGCAGGTGTAGACACTTGGTTTAATAACATTGGGTAGCCAAACTTTCAGCTTGGCTCTATTAGGGAAGGCAGTGACAGGCAGGCATAGAAGCATGATGGGCAAGCAAATTCACTATTAGCCTATTTCTGGATGCCACATAAAGAAAGGTTGGGTTTCTTTTTTTCTTTCAGAGATATCACTGAAATCACCTTGTGCACATTCATCTTTCAAGTCTGGTCCTTCTACAGGTGTAGCACTAGGGCTCTTAAGGTTCACGTTTACCTTCTAGGGACACTTATTTCTTGCTCCAGACATGATTCATCCCGAGACAGAGAAGGATGTAGGACTGCAGCAGTTCTTCCTCAAGCAGGAGGTAGCTGTAACACACTGAAGCCTCCAGTTGAGTACTGCCAAGACAGGCTATCACGCCAACACATCTTCTACCTGCCATGCCTGCTTATCCAGCCAGCCCTTCCCAGAAGCTGTGCTAGCACCCTGATGCCTCACGCTGCCAGGGAGCTTATGTCGCTTTCCAACACCTTCTCCCTGGCAGGCTTTCCGTTGCTGCTGCTGCCTGGTGCCAGGGTTTGAGCTAGTTAAAGCTGGCACAAACATGAGTTGAATCTAGTCCTATAAATTTAAATAGTCAAAAGTAATTAGGTTTACATGTACTGCTGAATAAATAAATTTGCTCTTAGGCTAGGGCTTTGTGTTGCAAGTTTCAGATCCATGCCAACTGTTGTGGTTAAGCTGTTAACCCCCCCAAATCACAGATCATAATGAACATGCTGACAAACCCTAACTTTAGTGGTACAATAGCAGCAATAACTCTCAATATTGATTAATTTAGTTAGTTAAACCTGCAGTCTAAGCTTATAACCATTCCGTGATAAATTGAGACTGACCTGCTGCCCAAGCAGGTTTTTTGATGAAGGACAGAATCAGCTTTAGGTTTCCCCAGAAATACTTGTCCATTTACCATTTTCAATTAGAGAAGGCCATGAGTAAGGGAAAGCACAACATGGCTGCTTATGGTCAATTATAGCTACAGCACCAGTGGAAGGAAAGCAAATGAGGAAGTATGGGAGAAAGCACTCCAAAAATACAGGATTTTTCAAAATTTGTCATCAACTGGTAAAATAAGCCTTTAAGGATGACAGCTAATCAGACTCCTTTTACTGATCACTTTACCTGGTATGATTTCTAACAGCATATTTCAACAAATATTTTACTCCCCTCTGTGGAAAAGAATAGATCATCAATCCTCTTGAATAAAATTCCTTTTTCTGAGCAGTTGTCATATGATGTGAATAATTATATCTGCTTCTCAGTGCTTGAATGGAATCTCAACTTAGCACCATTAGACAGCATCAAGCACTATCTTTACACACACTTTATCTGCTATGACTGGCTTGCAAAGGTAACCCTTCCTTTTAAGAGAAATGCTTAGGCAATCTTGTGGTTTCTGTTAGTTTAAACATACAGCTACTTGTGGGAAACAGAGCCTAATCTAGCTTAGTTTTTAAATCCTCCCAGAATTATCAACTCTCCCATCAGAAGGGAAAAAAAAAAGTGTTTCCATAGCAAGAAAGTACAATTTTGTCAATATTGATAGTGGTTTTTCACCTATTATATATCGCAAGTTCCTTCAGAAGATAGAAATAAACTGCCAGCTTCTGCCAAGAATACAGGGATGATATCAAGCATACATTTTCCCAGTCCACTGGGCCAAGAGAAGATTAAATCTGACTCTAGCCCTCTCATCCTCCAAGAAACATTTAACTCTTCTTAAGAATGGCTGCACATTCTTGTTACACCACCTCACAGTTACCTAACTATAGTGGTGTCAAATACTGCAAATTCATACTTCAATCTGCATTTATTTTGTTGCTTAACTAAAGATTTTATTATGAGAAAACATAGGATATGACAAAGAAAAGCAGGGATTGTGTGCTGTTCTTCTAGGCATTTACCACTAGAGATGTAATCCTGCCTAAAGAAGGCAAGTTGTTTTCAGACTCGTAACCGTAACAACAATGCTGCTTTCAGTTTTTTCATTGGAGCAGAAGCTATAATGCTGCTTTTCCAGTGCATTTAGTGCAGATATATAGTATAATCAGGAATTGCTGACTTAATGTGATTTTGTTGCTTGCCATTAAACATAAAATAACTCTCATACAAAACGTTTTAAAAGAAATGCCATTTGATAAAATATGGGGTTGGGGGAAGAGGCAGGCAAATGCAGAGGGATTAAAATCTTCACGTGGATGTAAAACCTAACAGGGTTAACAGCGTCCATACAAATTATTTACAAAGGCATTTAATGTGTCAGGACTTGCAACATAAAATACTTTCTGTTCAAAATCTAAGTAAAATTAAAATGTTAGAACTTGGCATATTCCTGCTTTTCTTATTCTAAAAAGCAACTTAAGGCTTACTATAAATGTCAAAAGGATATGGCAGGTTTTAGTTTATATCATCCAGCTAGCGCGAACATGAAACATCATAGAAATTCAGCCACTTCCCTGCATCTAGGAGAATTTGATGGTTGTGTTTGCAGAATCTTAAACCAGAGATTACCCTACAGCTTACCGTGAAGTGTCATGCTGGATCGGTGATATGCCTGTGGTTGCAAGCGCTTTGCTGCTGCCCATCAACCCAGGAGATGTGCCTGCATCCTTCCTAGGTCCTGAAGTTGTCCCTGTGGAATGAAGTGAAGACAAGCCAGACATCAGAGGCTATTTATTTTGGGACAGATGTCTCACGATTCTGCATTATCACAGAACACTGGGACTAAAAGTTGAAACCTTTTGGAGTGCCAGACATATACAGAGAAATGCCAATCAGAGAACTCATCAGTGGACACTACTGTGCACAGCATCCATTTCAGGACCAGATAGGATCAAATCTGTACAATAAAACACACACTACAGCCTCCATCTTACTGCCCAAAGTTTGACAGACTTGCACTGTTATCATTTCTTACAGTCATCCACAGGATTTGGCTTGTTTCACAGATGCAGCTCCCAAGACGTGCTATAAGATGTTATTTCTCCAAGTGTAAATACAACAGTATTTTGCTTTCAATAAAATAGAACTGATACTCCATTCTTTCTTCTACTCTCCAAATAGATAGGATTTAGTTACACAAATAGCATAGAGGTAAAGGCAATATGAAAATTAGGAGTAATATGATCTACTACACAAAAGCCTGTGGGTTTGAGCTTTTTTATCTAGCCTAATTAGTTCTGTGCAACCAACATCATTTAACTAAACAGTTAGTATAGGAAAAACCGCAAGTATCAGCAAAAATTAAAGTCAAACCAGTGTTTAGCTCTTTATGTAATTCTGTCATGACTAAATATTTCTCAGCTCTGCGAACAGCAACATTATCTATCATCCATGCTGAAACATGAAGCAACAAGGCTGTAATTCCAGCGTCAGCACAAAATTTACAGATGTCCAAGGATTAAGTTTATTTAAAATACTGCACTGATTTAAGGTTTATACAAATATATAAAATTTAGTAAACCCCTATGTTTTAAGGTGCACTTTAGGGAGGCTAATAAAAAAATGGGTTCTTATCACTCTGCTCTAATGAATCGTGCTTCAGTACCAGGCAGTGAAAAAAATCTCACCTAACAAAGAGTTAATTATCAGTGAAGGAACTCCTGAAAATATCATGGGGATATATGCTGATTGTGTGTCCCTGGTAACTTGATAGTGTGCCAATCCATGATGAGAAGAGTGGGTATGCATGTAAAGACTGGAAGGCTCTTGCTTAGACTTCTGGTTTTATGATCGAACAAGAGATATTTAGAAATCATTTCACATGACAGCGGAATGAGGCAGCTGGATTTTAAGAAACTAATACTAAAGTAATAAAAACCTGGTGAACACGGGAGAATATATTCAATTCCTAATATAAGAAAAGGCTGGTACATTGTCAACATACTACCTTCATAGCAAACTAGATGTATTTCTGCAAAAAAGAAAATATATGGACTCAGAAGTGGCCAACACAGACTCAGGGGGACTGTTCAAAGACCTAAGTTTGAAAATATTACCAGGGCTAGAAACAGAAAACAAGAAAAGAAACTAAGCAGGAATATACTGAGGCTGTTAAGCTGCACAGAGAAAAAACAAGGGTAGCAAGAAATCCCAAATAAGTGCATATCTAAACAAAAAAAGTTTAAAAATACATCTTGATAAAAGCATGCAAGTCGATTGAGGGAAAAGAAATGCCAAAAAACAAGTGAATATACAAAGATGATTAAATCAATAATGATCCCAAAAATGTCCAAGCTACTAATAATTTTAAAAGATACTATGAGAAAAAATAAAGGAAAAGAAAATTGGCAAGTAGAAGATAATGAAGACCCTGTTGATGTATAATACCTGCCTATATGAAGCTGATGAAAAAAAACTATCAGGGGAAAAAAAAAGATACAAAGTCTTTAGTCTGAAGGATATATATTTCAGGGCTAAAGGGAATTAGTTAATGAATTTATGAAGTGACTGGTAATTATTTATGAAAAGTCATAGAGAACTGGGGTGATACAAATGACAGCAAATTAATTAGATTTGCAGGTGTTGGAAGACGGTATGAGACTGGAGACATTGCAGATGATCTAAAGGAGCAAGAACCAGGGAAAAAGAATAGACAAATTTACCCTTGGAAAAAAGAAAAAGCTCTTACATGGTGTGATAATCCGACACCAATGGAAAGAACCTGGAGCAGCAAATAATAGCAAAAAACAAACTTGCAAGGCAAGGTACCCCCAAAGCAATTATAGATGTCTTCTAAATGGTAATGTTAAGAATACTATTTTCAATTTGGCTAACTTGGTACAAGACTGACTTAAAGCAGATTAAAGAATCATTTGAGACAACTCAAATAGTTGTATATTTCTGCTTGAGAAACAGACAACTAAACTGGGGAAATATAGCAGTCTATATTTTGGAAGTGTAAACACTAAGAATGAAGAAATACAGCTGAGGTTGGTTCAAGCAGCAATGGGATGAAAGTAAGCAAAGGGAAATCTAGGTTGATAATCATAAAAGAAATCTTTATGACTTGAATAATAGTAATATTCATAAGACTTAACATTTATATAGTACTTCACATCTTCAAAGCACTTCGCTAATATTAACTAATTGCTCTATTCGATTGTAGGGAAGAGTCTTCCCTCAAGGGAAGAAGTGCCAGATCCTGAATCCCTAAGAAGCTACATTAGAAAAACTACTGAAAAATAAACATTATACAGAAAAATCAGCCCCTGGAAAAGTACAGGGCTAAAATGAGCTAAAATAATTTTCCTTCTCTGGCTCTTTCTTTTACATATGGAAAGGAAAGTTGTGCATGCTATACAACACCAAGCATATATTACGTCCAACAAAGACGCAAAGGGAAAAATAGTTCTTTCTTTTGTTTCAATTCAGAGGTATTTCAGGAAAGGGGTAAAGAGGAGTACTTTAAACAGAAAAACAGAAAGGTGCCCAATATTGCAGAGTGTAATGGGTAGAATCTAGTTTAAGTTTCCCAGCCCCAAAGAAAAATTTTCCAAAGCAGAAAGGAAGGGAAGCACACATTTCTGTACTCCAGTGCTTTTTAACCAGACAAGTTGTTAGATTTTAGTACACTTTGACATAGCTAGTGGTGACACCAATAAAAACAATTTACTGCTTAAAGGATCTAAGACTCCAGGTTTGCTTCGACTGCTTAAAGTTTTGCTGGTAAAACTAAAAAAGTTTGACTGCAAGACACAAACATCTGCTAAAGCACGGGAATAAAAATTAAGGACCAAACTGAAACAGGAGACAAAAAGCAACAGTGAGGGAATAAAAACTGATTGTTTAAGTTGATCCAGTAATTTTCTACCCTGAAAAACGAGCAGAAGTGACCCTTTCCACTCCATGAGGTGATGGGGCCAGGTTAACAATACTCCTCTCCCCATTACTAAACATCTTCAGGGAGAAAGGAAAAGTGGGTTTGTTAGGAAATCACCCTTTCCAAACTCAGTATACTCACAGTAAGTGAGCAGTCTTGTGGGCAGAAAAGCCTTCCACTATTCCAGGATGGGAACAGTTTCACAATTAATAATTTTATACCTGATGCAAGTGTCTATGTTGCTCTGGAGAGACATTACCATGAGTTGCACCATTTCCTTGGTACAGTCACCATTTCCAGTGGTATAGCAAGATAATATAGTGAGCCCAAAGTCCCACATCAGCACTGGCACTGCACTAAGGTGTTCTTGGAGAGAGTCATCATCTTGAAGAACATGTAATTCAAACAGACCAGACCGATCAAGGCATGAGAAAAATAGGTCAACAGGTCAACATCTAACAACTATCACGAATTTTTCAATTGAATCTGTTTCTGTATACAGTATCCAGCAGTGCTGTGTTCTGACTAAAAGGCCACCTTAAGGTGTGCGACTAAATAACACTAACTTTCATGCCTCAAGATGTCACCTTGTTTACTTCATTCCCCTTTCCCACAGTGCATTGAAGCAGAAATCCCAGGTCAGCAGCAGATGGGAATATCCAGCAAAAACAAGGACAGAGTCCAGGCTAGCTAGAATTAAAAAACTTGACACTTGGTCATGATGATCCCCAAAGATGGATAAAAACACTTTACAAGTGTGTGTGTATGCTTGCTAAAGGAGTCCAAATCATATAACAGAAGGAAGCCAGTTAAAAGGTACTAAAATACAGAAGATTTCAACTTCAGTGATTAGTGCCAGGTAATTTGCCTTGTGATAAACAACCATTCAAATCAGTAATAGACCTGAGGTTGTTCCACAGCTTGAAAGCATTCCTCTGAACTTTATCTCGTATCACAGCAAGTGCCAATATTTATAAGTCAAATTTTGCCACACAGCTCTACATCTTCAAAGCTAGCAAACCCAGTAAGTGTATGCAAAAGATACCCACCATCCTCAGAGATCATGCTGACCACTGCAATCACTAAATCAGCATAGGTGCAGCTCAGTTGCTATGTGCAATAGCCAGATGTAGCTTGTAACTTCTCCTAAGTACTACAAAATTAAATGAATGAATGAAGAAGAGGCCAGGTTGATTTTTTTTTTCCCCCTGAATCTGTGGCAAATAAATTACGTTTTTGGGACTATCGCCATCCAAGGAACAAAACCCATCATCCAGCTGTGAAAAATCTCAATTTCATCACTGCAGTACTGAGAAGGAGGGGGCAGAAGGAAGAGGAAAAGAGAAGGAAAAAAAAAAAGATAGCTGAAAAAAAAACCATAAAAGAAAACCATCAGTGAAAATTGCCCCTGAAACTTTGCAGAATTGTAACGGCTTTCTCTTGCTTAAATTGATTGGTGTAGCAATGTTATAAAATGACTATTAGGATTCATTGTGCACAACAGAAAGTGTGAAATGTCAGCAGACTATACAGCAAAAGTAATGGGTCCTGAACCCCTGTTAGTCAAAAATGATTTTGTTTCAAATTAGAAATTGATTTTTTTGGACACAAGCCCTTTACAGGCTTCCAACTTTTGTAGCTGTGTCTTGGAAGAGATTAACCTCAGCCACTGTTTGGGTCCTGGCTGATGATACCCTTTTGAAAGTTTCTTCACAGGGACTGCTTTCTAATGTTGGTATGGTCTTAACCAATAACATAAGTTATTTGTTCCTTTGAGAACTGCACCACATTTCTTCTCATTTTGCCATTTTCTTTATTTTTATGCTGACATATACAGCAAACTGGCTGACAAGTTAAAATAAAAAAAACAAACCTGGTTCATAAGTGAACCAAGGATTATGTTCAAGGCTCAGCAGTGAAACATCCAAGCAGCTTTTGTTCCCAACCTTTTCTCTTCCTAAGAAAGACTTTGCTCCTCTGCTCCTTAAGTGGAGGTACTAAGCTAAGGGCAGGATAGGTTCCAGCAATACAGATCTCCCTTGTGTGGCAAAATAGCAGGTTGTGATGGAGAAGTCAACACTTGAGCAGGAAAGGAACGCAAAGAGGATTACATTTAAAGAGCAAACCCCACTGCACTTTTGGGAAACAAAATAATAAATCGTTGAAGCAGCTTTTTGAGACTAAAGGGCTATTTTTATCTTTTCACCAGGAACAGCAGCCAAGACCATCACTTGTTATTGAAAATGGTTTTTATTGCTTTAAATGTAGTTACCTTTTCTTAGGTTGTTTTAAACAACCTGCAATCCTCTCCCTTTTATTGTGCATTTTACTGATAATACTCTTGAATACACATATGCATAACTTCTAAATGCCACCAGCACACTCATGGCCCTGCAATGCAGTATTGCTTCTCCTTACCTTTCCTGGACTTGGTGCCTTCCCTCTTGGTCTGCATCAGAAGGGTTTTCCCATCTTCCACGTTTGCACCAAAACCAACTATTTTCTTTCCCGAACTGCTCCCACGACTGCTCCCTCGTGTTCTGGAGTTCTTGCTCACTGGAGGTGTCCTCAGTAAATAATCTTCATGTTTCAACATCGCGACACTGGGAGGAAAGAAATATCAAGCTATTGCATGATGCATTCAGCCCACTAATGGTGCACCCAGCCCTCTACCCTACTTTCTCTCTCCAGGAGCATGAACACCATGCTGCTGGTTGAGCTCTTGCTGAATCCATTTATCATTTCTGAAAGCAGGATGCCTAAGGCTTGAAGAGTAACCAACCCACTTTATCAGAAGTTTTTGGTTAGCAGCAGCCAGCAGCACTCTGACAATTGTATTTGGAATTTTGTAGCATTGGGCACATTCCCTAAAACGTTAGATCCCAGATTTCTCAAGTGGTTAGGACAGAACAAGTGGGATGAAGACATGCAAAGTACTTTCTCCAGCACAATGGACCTCAAATGTAAGAAAGAGTAGTTTAAAAAACGCTCACTCTGCTAGAATCAAGGGGAAACAGAGAAGACTATGTGAAGAGAAATCTGAAAGTGTAGTTTGCAAAAGGAAAGAAGATCATAGAATCACAGAATCATTTGTGTTGGAAAAGACCTTTGAGATCATCGAGTTCAACTATAAAGCAGCATTGCCAAGGCCACCACTAAACCATGTCCCAAAATTCCACATCTACATATCTTTTAAAAGCCTTGTCATGGTTTGAGAGCCCCAAAAATCCAATTCCCTAGTCCAAGCCCCCTCCCACATCTCAACCCAGTGTGAGATGGTTTTTCCAGACACTACACAAGACTCAAAATGGGGGAAAGGGAATATATTACAATGACTGTATAAAATAAACACTACAATACATTATATACAATCTTAATTATCTCTACCATGACATAAGTATTTACAATGGATCAAATCTCTTCTCCCCTCCAAATAAAAGTCCAGGAGGGAAGAAAGAAAAGATCCCTTTCTACTCTCAGAGAAGCAATGTCTCTAAGGCAGCAGGCATCTATCCTCTTCTCATGCAGCAGTAGCTGGATCTCTGCCAGTACACATGAGAGGGTATCCAAGCCCTCTCGGCCACTCGTCTTCAAACGAGGGTCTTCTTTTCTGTGGGCTGTGTTTCCCAGGACAAGGGCGCTATTACCACGTCATATCACGAAGCCCAGGGGTCTTCGTGACAGTCCTTATCTTCAGGGGAATCAAGTTCCCTGCAGAGCTCTGTGCTCTGTCTCAAGCAGCAGAGGGGGCCAAGGTCACCCCCTCCACATTCTTTCTCGGAGCTTTTTAGCTCCTCTCTGCAGTGCTGCTGCAGTTTTAGGACTTCCATTCAGTAGGAGTCCATCCTTTCCACTTAGGAAAGGTCACAAAAGGAGTTTGGGGTTTTTGGTTCAGTTTCTTACCCCAACTCTGTCTCTGTTTGAGCTTAGTTCTCTCTCTCTGCTGCTGGCTCTCTCTCGGCTCTCTCAGACAACTCTGTGTCTTCCTTGGCTGCATGTTTGTTGCTGCTTCTTCAGTTATCTCTTGGCTCTTAGCCACAATCTCTGGACGCTGCTTCTGCTGCTGCTCTGTCTCTGCTCACTCACGGTGGAGAAAACTTCTTTAGCTTCTCAGTCACAGACCTCAGTCCAGTTTAACACTGTTTCTGAGTTTCTATGACCCCAGTCGGGGGCCCCTAGAGGGGCTCTTGCCCCTTCAGCTTTTGGCTTTAGAACATGGCTACTTCTTCCACAACAACTACAACTACCTTCTCTTCCGTTCTGCTTGTGATATGTTTATATTTTGCAGAAGCGCTCATTGGGTAAAACCTCAAAACTTCAAGGGTCACCACCCCCTGGGGTTTTACCATTTTATAACTTCAGGGGGAAAACTGTTTCCCCCCACCACAGCCTCCAGGGATGGTGACAAGTTGATTCAAGAAGAAAACGGATGAGAGGAGGGGAGACAAAAAGATGAGATGAATGAACAGAGGTACTTTTAAGGAGGATAGAGAATATGCAAGCAAACTGGTGGGAGAGCATCTGGTGCAACAAGTGCAGCACGTTGACTGAAGTAAGAAAAGAGAAAGTTAACCAGAACCATTATGGTTCTATATGAACTTCAGCACAAGATTGTAAACAATTGCATAGATAGAGCCAGGAGGCAGATCTGGTGACAAGGAGGAAGCATGACTTCAGTCTCTGCAGACACAGCAATCTCAAGACATTCTGGGCAGACAAGAGGTTATGGAGACCCATCTTTCTCTCAGTAAAGACAACCTACTGCTTTCAAATTCTGTTCTCTGGTTTAAACTACTGGTTTAAATGAGGATTCCCAACACGTACACATCATCAGTTCCCATCATAAAAAGCCCCATTATAAAAAGAAATTAAAACCATAAAAAAGTGTCTTTTGCATTGGCAACCCAAAGACTGTCACTGAGTTTGGGATACAGCTTTGTGGAGTTGAATCACATGAATCTTTTACCTAAAAGCTTACAGGACTGAAGTTATTGTAGATCTGAGGGAAAGTCAGAAAATGATAGCTAAATTAAAAGTTTCAAATCAATGTGCTGTATAAGACATTGTTTAATAGGGCCCACTGAGCCTGTTGGACAATTAGTATTACTCCTGTATTATTAATGCAGAACAGTATATAATAGCTTATGACCTATAATAACTGGCTGAAGTGTTGGATATAACTTCTCTGAATAACCTCCGTTTACTTTAGGGCTTCAAACCATGTGACTACTAATAATACAGCAAAGTGTTTTTAAAATTTATGGTGAACTAAATTAGTATCTTATTTGAATTATATGAAATTATTAACCTACTAATACCTGCAACCCCAAGTAAAGCAAGAGGTGGTTTTAGATCCTGGTAGTTGCTTAAAGAGGCTTACAGGTCTAATACTTGACCAGATTTCTCTGATAATACAGGACCTGAAATTCCATTTGCCTGGACTTGGATGATTAACAGCACTTAAAAACAGTGAGGTTGTCATTATTTGGATGCTTTCTGAGTTTTTAAAGCACATTTAATTACAACCTACAGTCCTCCTGTGAAGACAGTGACCTTTGGCTTGCAGATAAGGGAGATGATACCACATACACCTTTTACATGGTGCAGTTACCTCTAGAATACTGAATTCTGCTTTAAAATAATGCAATGACAGAGGCAATTCAAACAGAAACAGACACCATGAAGAAGTTAGAGAAGCTAATTTATGGCAAATACCATAAACAAATGTATTTGCATTTATAGGCTCAATAAGCAACTATTTAGAGCCTCATTGTTTAGTATTTAACACAAGATAGCTCACGCTGAAGTTTTGCTCAAGGAAGGATAGTGTGTCAAATCTTAAAATGACACTTAACCTGAAGGGTGTGCAGACCAAGAAGGGAAAGGGATAGTGCAATAATTAACTATGTGCCACAATTAAACAAAGAAAACATAAGGGAAAAAAATCTGTTTCAGAACATAGTTACTCATTCACCTGTGGAATAATTAGTAAAATGAATGATGTGACTATTGCAACCTGGAAATTGAAACTTAACATATGGTCCAAAGGAATCAGTTATTTATATCTAGAGAGATTTAGAGACAAAAGAGGTTCTTGTCTATTTTCAAATCCAACAATCCTTTGTATCACTCAAAAGCACCGTGGTTGGAAGGACTTCCTGCAGGGCACCACAATACCCAATGAATTTTCATGCTATTCCCTGAAACTACACAACAGAGAAGACCGTCTTAAGTAAGACCTTATTAACCTACCTAACCTACACACCAAGGCAGGAGTTGTAGTGTCGCCAGAAAAGAAGCAAGTCTCAGCACTGCTGCCTCATTATGAATGTTGAAGTACACCACCAACAAAGGGAAACACACCTTGAACGTTCTTTCCTCTTTGCCTGAACCTCATATCGCGATATCCCTGCTGAGCGTGAATGGCAAATTTTAAATGTCATTCAGGACCCATTGAATACTGCTAGTATTTGCATTCCTTAAAAAGTAGAAAAACATTAACCTTTTGTTTTATTGAATTAAAATGCCATGGAAATGCTGATGTAGTCTTCAGAGACTGAAATACTTTTACAAAGAAGAATAGCTGTCATTTATTAGACACAAAGAACAATTACTTGATAGGATGCTTTCTGACAAAAAGCAGATTGGTATTCTCATCATAGAAAAGGCATTGTAAAAAAACCCAGCACAGACCTCTGAGACTTGAATAATTTAAAGCTGCATTTGGTGCAATTTGAATTTTTCTTTAGGGAGGCAAAGTTAAATACCTTTAATTTGTTCTAATTATTTCAAATTTGCAAGTTAATTATGGCTGATCATTAAATAACAAAAAGGACTATCGTCTCCATAGAGTTTTACCTCCTACCCTCTGCATTACTTAAGCTAGATTTTAGTATGCATGAATTAACTTTCTAAATAATCACACGGTTTGACTAAATGGCTCAGTAAAATGAGCTCTGATCCTCAGAATAAGCATTAATGGACATTAGAAAGGCTATTGGGACCCATGTTACTTACATTATAAGTATTTTTAATGGGGTCTTATTTACTAATCTTTATGTACTGTTCAAGTTAGGGCACCATATAGATACATTATTCTGCTTTAATAGAGGAAAGTCAGTTCTTCAAGATACTAAAATAAATGTCCACTTAGAGCCAACTAAATTCATTTTTAAACTAATGCAAGAAAACTCTGATAGAATATAACTTGTTTTAGCTGCTGATCTTGATGAATCAATCCAACATAATGGCAGCCTTGGTCTGCAAATGGAGTTTTGCAGATCTATTGAATTGCTAAGCAACCCCAGCAGCTCAGGCTCTTGCCAGAGTCCCATTTACTATCAGCATGTGCACGCCCACGAGCTTCCGTCTCTTCCACGCTCCACACCCGGCGCTCCTCTGACGGGTTCCCAGCCTTCGATCCCAGTTTTGGGTGCTCACCTTTCACTGAACTCTCATCTTTCGACGCGTTTTTCAGTGCAGATCAGTGGCATTCAGAGAAACAAGACTACATTACACCTACTCGGAAACCCAGAACGTGAGGCAATTCATGCCTCCAGTACTGTATGTTCAACAGATGGCTGCCTTAATGGTACCCTA